ACACCCCCCGCCCCCTCCCTCTCCCCGTCGACCAATACTGCACTTTCTGGTATCCTACCTCTCACCTTGGAAACGTCTGTCCACGTGTTTTCATCATCCCCTCGCGTCACACTCCGTTTCGTGTATTCACATACAATATCTATTGCGTATGGCCGTAGATGGCAAATGTCACGTAAATTGTATGGCGTACGGAAGTATTTTGCATAATGACATGATTTCCCTGAAAATTGTTTTCGCGCTACGCTTGTCTTCGCATTACTTTTCGTTTATCCGCATTACTCATTTAACAAGCGGAATTAACGACGAGGTCACGCGAGGCGATAGTCCGGTGTCGCCATGCGAAGATCTATATACATATACGTATACACAATAGAGCAGGATATCCACTTCTCCTTAGAAGTCTGTGTATCAATATCGTTCGCGGGTTCCGCGCTCGAGGGTAAAAAGCCGCTTTTAAAACACCCGGACGATTAAAGTTTTTCCCGGGAGGGTTATTAATTAATTTAGGAACGTCTGCGCCCCCGTTCGCTTTATTCAGGGGTTGCTGGAAAACAGTACGGTGAGCCCTCGGAAATAGCCTCACGAGGGTGAAAAGATCCCTCTCCACGTGATATTCCTCACCCTCGTTTCCCCCGCCGCGACGCCCCTTTTCGCCATTCCTATATACGGGGGTGGAAAAGTGCAGTTGCAGGAATGTATACAATAAATGCATATACCCCACCCACACTGTCACTTACCTCTCAATACGATTCCGAAGGCATCGGTCATTTCTATTTTAAAGCTTCCTTCGCTTGGCGTGGAGTTCTAATGGCTGACGAGTAGCGTTCACAGCCAAGCCGTCTCGACAGCACGGAATTTTCCGTACCCCCTTTAGAGCATCTGGGCGAGTGGATATTGTACCGGGCGTCGCGACGCCCACTCTCGTACCTGATAAGTCCCTTCCGTCATAGATTGCACTCTATTTCACTCGGGTTATTTCTCCTTTATTTCACTATCCCGTAAGGGGGACTTTTCTGTGACAGCGGCGTCGCGACGCTCTCGATATGAATTACAACGTCAATTTTGGTTTTCCTTGTCGCTTACCTTTGAACGTACACTTCGGCTATTGCGCTTTCTTTTTTATCTGTCGCTTGCTCGTGGTCTGACCAGCTTGAGTTCCGACACGTTTACCATTTGAAGTCGCGACTTAGTTGCGGGGTCGGCATTAACATCGCGGAGGTCACGTGCGATTTGCATGGGATGGCGTCGATCGCGATTGTTTACCGGCCAATCGTTGTTTTTCTTGGACCGCTCGGGAATACGACGCCAAGCGTCGGCAGGATGTAGTCCAGTTTTTTTTTTTAATACCTCACTGACTCACTGATAAGTAACTCCATTTTGCTATCGGATACGGATCTGACAGTGATATTACCAGAGGGAAAAGAAAGTAGAAAATTTTTTTTTGCAACGTTGGTACCTTGTACACGTCCATTGGTGCCTTTTTGCTGGGTCAGGCATCCGCTCTGGTATCGCGTGGGGAACTCTGCTGAAGACACGTGACACGTGATGCTGAAACGAAGAAAAGTCTTTTTTTTTTTTTTCACGGAAATTGAGATTCAAGGAAACAATCTACTTCCGGTTTAAAACAACGTGTATTCTCTGTCTGTTTGTGACGTGCTTTATATATATATTTTTTTAAACGTTTTTGCCGATCAGGGTCATGCTCCCCAGGTTAGGGCGATCGATCTGCAGGAATTAGGACTGGTAACAACGCTCGTGTTCGACTTGACGATTTCACGTTTAGTATCAATTTAGATCGAGATGAAGGTTGAATCTTTCGAAAGAAATATTTCAATGCGGATCTCTGTCCTGGCGGGATTTCACTTATTTTGCTTCTTACTCTCTCGGTTTTATCGTCGCGGCTACCCTGCCTTCCTGTTTTTCGTCCGGAGGATCGCTCATCCGCTTTCCACTTTGTTCGCGTCTCGCTCCTTCGCTCTTTCTAGTTCGAAACCGCGAAACTTCTTTTGCCGCGCAAGTAATAAAAATCCCCGCGGACGGTCGTCCATCTGAAATGCAAATGGCCGCATTAATATTTGCTCACGAGCTTTCGGACTCGGGACGGTTGATCTATGCGGGAGGTACGCAAGAGGCGCGTTCGTGCAAAAAAAAAAAAGGTGCAAGAGAAGATAAGAAGAAAAAAGACATAAAATTCGTACAAGAAATTTTAACGGCGTCCTTGTATATACAGCCTCACGTATAAAAATATATCGCGTCCCTTTACACTCTTATACAAATTATTCTAGTCGCTCCTTATCACGTGCTCACGCTGATGATTTTCTTCGTTTCCGGGTATCCAATTTTTTTTTGCATATTTCGAATACAACTTTTTTTTTTTTTTTTTGACAATTTTCTCACGCTCCGATATCCACGTTAAACGTTAAGGGTACAATTCTTTTTCACGAACTGGACGGCGACCGCGAAAATGGAATAGCTCAGCTTTGTGGATTCGGCTTTAATATAAGGCTCGGTACGAAATAACGAAAGTCGAAAGAT